ATTGTTGTAATGCCCGAACTTGTGGCAATGGTAGCACTGAACATTGCTTTTGTCAAATCCTGGTCAGTTGTTGTAACCACATCCTCTTCCTCTTGCTCTTCCTCTTGGAGCAAAGTGTGGTTGACTTCTTCCTCCTCCGGCTGGACCTTTTCTGCTTCTTCCTTGAAAACCAGAACTTCGGTTATTGTAACCACGACCTCTTCCTCGGCTTCTTTGTGATGTCCCCCCTTGCTCATTTATGTCATCTCTGAAAGACAGCTTTGATTGAAGAGCTTGCTCAAGAGAACTTGATGGAGTTTTTTTGTTGATCCTTTGTTCATGAATCTCAAGTGTGCCCATCAACTCATCGGTGGTCATGGCACTGAGATCTTTGGACTCTGCTATTGCTATAACCACGTGCTCGAACTTGGGACTGAGTGATCGTAGAATCTTCTTTATCACTTGAAGAGATTCCATTTTCTCCCCATATTTTCTCATCTGATTAACAATGGTCAATGTTCTATTGATGTACTCAGAAATTGACTCATTCTCATTCATGTGCAGCATCTCGAATTCGCCATGTAACACCTAGAGTCGAACTCTGATCGTCTTCTCAATTCCACGGTGTGAATTGCGAAGAATACTCCATGCCTCTTTAGAGGTTGCTGCTGCTGAAATCTTCTCAAAGCTTGACTCATCAATGCCTTGATAAAGTAGATACAAGGCCTTTTTATCTCTCTTCCTTAAATCTTTTAACGTCGTCTTCTGAGTTTCATTTAAATTTCCTTCATCTTCAAGAGTAGCTGGCTCATCATATCCTGGATCCACTAACTCTCACAAATCTTGTGAGGCTAGTAGGACTTGCATTTGAATACTCTAATTTTTATAGTTCTCCGTGCTGAGTTTTGGAAACTAGGATTGAAAGAAATTGTTTGTACTGGCCATTGGTTGACTTTAAGAAATCTGCAAATTTTCAAAATGTAATTTTCAAATTCCGACCATACAGATATGTCCGAAATATTCCAAATAGTTGGAAAGCACTATTGGATCACCAAAAAGGGACTTCAAACGGCTTAGATCTAGAAAAAAATAATTGAACGGTTCAGATCGGCGGAATCTGGAACTTCTAAGAAGCACCAGATAATTTCTCCGGATAGGATAACGTTAGCAGCTCGGCTCGGTCTGCGGCTTGGCAGCGCGGCTCCGCTCGGCTTGACGGTCGGACTCTACAAATTCGGGCGAAGAAGACGCGTGGAGGCGTGTTAGAGCGTTTCTACGCGTGTTGACGACGTCGACAGCGCGTGGAGCGCGTGTGGTCCCTATGGGACTCGGTTTTCAACGTGGTTTTTTTCAGTGTCATCGTCTCGATGAGTACTACACACTAATGTGATCAAAATTTGATTTTAACAACTTTGATTTCTGGGCAAAATTTAAAACGATGCTCTGTTATACTGTTTTTTGAAAAAACAGGCCCTCCTGGTGCTCTGATACCACTGTTGATGGGAGTGGGGTGCAAACCACTTATGTTGGTTCACAAAAACAAATACAAAAAAAGAGAATTTATAATCTGAAAACAGATTTATTTCACTCAAAATATTTAGAATACACTGAAGGGAGGAAACCCACTCTTACTTTCTAATTCTCTTCTTTCTCTCACACACTGAATCTTCAAAATACAATAGCTACATATAGATAAAACTAGTAATGTGAAGGCATTAAATGCATATACAACAATATAATCTTATTTTGACATAAAGCCTTCAAACTTTGAATTTTCATGCCTCAGCAATCTTTGAACACAGATTTTCAGTGGCTAAGGTGGCTATCTAGGGTGGTGGCTATCAAGCTTACTTTCCAATAGATGTGACATCTGTACGGATAAGGCCAATTGGACAATGGAACAATGTAAAACTCGGATTGTCGTTCAATTTTGGGTTTCATACAAATTAACCCAACATTGTAACGATCAGCCAATTGGACAACTGGTGCTAGCCAATTGGGCAACGTAAGTGTTACAAAATAGTCCAACAATTGTAAGAATTAACCTAACATTTTAACGAGCAAGGCCAATTAACCAGTTGGACTAAATGTTTACAATTTAAACGTGGTATCTATATGGGCGGCCAAGCCATTCATGAAACAATATAACACTTGAATCATCCACCAATTATTGATTGCATACGAATTGTGCCAAATGTGAATATGTGCTAACCTCATAGATGGGTGTGATACGGTCGTTACGTGATGTCAACTAAGACGGGTTCATAACAATGTACCCAATGTAAATGTGTGGACATATTGTGGAAGCTGAACATTGGCCTTATATTTGACCAGTAGTAACGTTAATCACTTTAAATGTGACAAGTACACAATTTCACACTCGCGTTGTTGGCATTATTTGCAATTCTCGAACGATACAAAATACATCAATTTAAGCCGAAGTTTTGAAATGCAAGAAATCCGATCAAAGTGATGTTCCAATAGGCCACAATCACACAACTATCGCAGTGCGAATTCACCTTCCCAAAATGGGAACAACTTAGGATGGGAACACATATAAGGATCAAAATGGGAGCAAATTAGGGGTGCAATAATTCTCTACTAACACTGATTTATATATTATAGGATCTCATAAAACAAAATCCTATCTAAATAGGACTTATGAGATTATAAGAAATTCCATACGACTTCACAATAAACAAGTTCCCATAATAGGATTTATAAAGAAAAATCTCATTTAAAAAATATTTTTTAGTGTTTATTTTTTTTAAAAGTAAAACCAAATTATCGCGGGGGATGATGAGGTCACAGCAACTGTCGCAGCAGTGAGTAAGTAATTTTGTTGGTGGCTGATGGAAAATGTCTTAGAAAAATGATCCGTAGTTCGAATTCGGTGGCTCGAATTCGGCTCAAAATACAAAACGATTTCGATTTTTTTTTTCTTTTTCTTGTGTTTTGAATCAGAATACACAAAGAGAGAAGACAGAAAAGAGAGAGAGAAGGAGAAAAGAGGAAGAGAGAAAGAAGAGGAACCAAGATGAAGATGATGATCTGAAGAAAAAGATGATGAAGATCTTTGTTTTTTTTTATCTATTTTTTTTTATCTTTTTTTTTTTTTATCGACGATGCGCCGAACTGTTTTTTTTTTGATCTGGAGATGATCTTTGCGTTGTTGTTGATGAAGATGTTGATATTGATGAAGATCTCTGTGTTTTTGATGATGAAGATGAACTCGGGTTTGATGAAGAAAAATGAAGAAATACCTAAATGGGTATTCCAGATTTTCTGTGCTGCTCTCAAATGGGGAAGAAAATTTGGTGTGAGAAAAATTGGTTCCTCTTCATCATCTTTTCTGGGTATTTTCTCATAGAAAATCTGGATGGCGTCGATTCTTTTCAGGGTACTTTTGTTGAACCAATTTTGGATGTGAGAAAATACCCAAAGAAGAGGAACCAATTTTGGATGATGAAAATCCAGAAATACCCAAAGAAGAGGAACCAATTTTGTATTCCAGATTTTGGTTGTGAAAAAATAAATAAATAAATAAATAAAATTGTTGATGATGATGATGATGGTGATGAAACCCAGCTTGTGAATCTGTCTGCATTTTTCTTCTTCTTCTTCTCTTCTTTTTCTTCTTCTTCAGCTTCAGAAATGGCGAAAAAAAAAAGAAAAAAGAGACCAAAACGACGTCGTTTTGGTGTCGAGCCAAATTCGAGCCTCCGAATTTCGAGCTACGAATCGGAACTGAATATCTTAATACTGCATTGATGGCAAATGTAAATACTATTCCATGGCCATATATTTGATGAGTATTGCTAGAAAGTTAGCTTAAAAAGTAAATTTATATATCATTTTTCTTGATGATATTTGTTTTAAAAAAATAATTATTCATTTTTTATAATATAAATATGATTTAAATATATAGTTATCGATGTCCGATCATTTTGATTTTTTGTATAACTATTTATTGAACGAGTGTTAAAAGGTGAACAGTTTAGATTATCAAAACGAGGTATATGGTGAGCTCCACGGATCCTTCAAGTTCTCTCATGTTGAGATACCAACATGAGAGAAGCTCGACCTTTTTGAAAATTACATCAAATCCCTTTACGTTTCTTAGCAATTCAAGTAATTTTATTATTATATAAAAGAGTAGTTATAAATTTCATTTTTCTGTTAATTCAGTTAAATAAAAAATTATAACAAATGGATATTTGTAATTTATAAAATCATAAGGGACAATCCATATTTTAAGTAAATCTCAGATGGTGTATTTTTAATTTATCATCCATTATTTTCAAATAATAATAATTTATAAATACACATTTTTTTTATGAAATGGCAATTCCAATTTTGAAATTGTGAATTAAATAATTGTTTGGTATAAGTTAAAAATTAATAATTAAAAAATAGAAACTACGAGTACATTTTTATATGTTTGTTAATAATCATTTTTTAAAATTTATTCAAATTATTTCTGCTTCATAATTATAGCATAATCTATATTAAACATTTCGACATAAATTTCTATAAAAAAAAAAAAAATTTACTGCAAACAAGGTCAAAATGTTTATATTTACAAAAGTCGAACAATAATTTATATAAAAAGTTTGTATAAAAAATTTATTTGTATATATTCATAAAAAATAATAATAATAATTTACACAACAAATTTTGATACAACCTTGAATTGAATCTTGTCATTTTAAAAACAATGGCACGTATTTCGAAATGTCATTTTTCTTCAATTTTTTATATAAAAAAAATGGAAAAACATAAAAAATACTCATTATTTTTATATAGTTTTATCATTTTAAAAAACAGGAATAACTCTTAAAATTTTTAAAAATATTTTAGATTTTAATTTTTTGAAAATAAAACCAAATTATTGCGGGGGATATTAGGGTCACAGCTACTGTCACAGCAGTGAGTAAATTTGTTGGTGGCTGATGGAAGTACAATACTGCATTGATGGCAAATGTAAATACTATTTGATAATATCTCTCTCTCTATCTCTCTCTCTCTCTCTCTCTCTATAATAAATCAATATATATAGTGTATATATTGCTCTTCAAGTGTGCATTGGAAGAGTAGTGAGAGAGAGAGAGAGTAGTTGTAGCCAAACAAACAACTATGGCTTCTAAACCAGGATTCCTCACTGATTGGCCATGGAAACCCCTTGGAAGCTTCAAGGTATATATATATATATATTTAAATATGTATATGTTTGTGCATTCATATATATGGGTATTTTGTTCTCTCTCTTCTAAGTATGTTTATGTATGTATATATGTGTCGTGTTTTAGGTTTTTTGTCTTTCTACTTATGTTTAAAAAGTATGCACATCAATCTTGAGTTTAGTACTAGTAAATAATAATGTTTTCTTAGCGATGCCAACTTAGTTGGGATTGTTAAGGTCAGTGTTGATGCTTTTGTACTTCTCTTTTTGTTAATGTTACTTATATTGCTTTCTTCATCAATAAAATTTCATTTTAGTGATAAAAAAAAAACTATCAATATGTGAATCATGTCCTTATCTTAAGGACAATGCTTCTCTCATTACATAAATATTCTTGATGTCAGCAGAAATTCATTTATAGAATTAAGAAAAATGATTTATGCACATAATTTTTCTCCTCTAAATCTCTCCAAATAACGTGATAAACAAAATTTTAGAAGCTAGACTCATATTAAAATATTTTTCAAAAATTTTCTTACATGTATTTCGCCTTTCTATCTCATTAGGAAGATTGTGAAGAGAAAAAATTATGTAGATGTACCATTGTTATAAAATTAATACGACATCTTTTATTTTCCATTAACTCAATTATATTGGCACCATTATTATAATGTGTATATATATATTTATTTAATTAATAATAACATCACATTATATCCCATTTTTTTTACCTAAAATGGTATGTGAGAAAATAAAAAAATTAATTGTTATTTTTCATTTAAATAAAGTATATATATATATATATATATATATATTATTAGAGCACTTTTAATCTTTCATATTTATTTTTTCAAATTTAAATTTGATGAAAAAGTATTCAAAAATCATCTCTAATCCTTTTATCAAATGTTTATTAAATCAAGAATGTCATTTTTTCATCAAATTAAAAACTTATTATAAATTTCTCATCAAATTTAAATTTGATAAAAATTTAATAAGATGAAGAATTAGAAATGATTTTTTTTTTCATTAAATTTGATGAAAAAAGAAATTTGAATTAAAATGAAAAATTTTAAAAAGATTTTAATAAAAATTTGATGAAAGAATTGAAATAATTAATGTCAAATTAAATATTTTAGTCAAATTTAAAATCATTGGTGAAAAGTTAGAGATGATCAGATGATAGGTAGAAAAGCAAGAAATAGATGTAAGTTATTTATTTTTATTTTAATAGAAATCTCACTATAAAATTATTATTATTAATTAATTAGTTCGTTTCTCACCTAATCATATTACTTTTGGTGAGAATTGCAATGGGTAAGATAACAAAGTTTTTTTTTTTTTTTTTCATTAAACATGAGAAAGAGTTCTCTTCCTTCTCTCTCTTTTCAAAAAAAGAAAAAAAAAATCTCCCCAAATTATCCTTTTTGAACGTATTGTAATATTTAAATTACAATATTTAAATTACAATTTTGCTAAAAAATAATATATATATATATATATATATTTACTAACTACTCACATTTGTACTTACACCAAACAAACAAACAAAAAAAACCTACTCATATCGTTTGGAAACCAGGCCATTTAGTCAAAAAGTTACTCCATTTTCTCTTTATTTTTTGCATATTTTTTCGTAAAAAATCAAAAAGTCATCCCAAACATACTAATTTTTTTTAGCTTATATTTTAGCCAAATAACAAAAAAGTTATTAAATTAACGTGTTCCCAAATGAGGCCAGTTGATAAAAGAGATTGAATTATCTTAAGTTGGTGAGAGAACGCTAAGCTCATTTTAGAGTCGACTTTGATAATCAGATTCAAAAAAACAATTATTAATATTTGATCATTTTAATTTTTTTATATAAATATTTTACTTAACGAGTCATAAAAATATAAATTGTTCACATCGCCGAGATCAATCTCAAAATAAGCCCATGAAGCCTGAGTATTCTCACAAATTGAGATGAAGAATTCAAATCTTTCATAAGAAACAGTGAAAAAGTGGATGACATGCGTTGATGACCTATTCAACACCAATTAATTTTATGTGAAGTATTGAAATTTTTCCTTAGGTCTCTTGTGCCTGTCTGCTTCACTTTGGGTTTAGGAAATGGATTGGTTTTTTGGCTTTTGAGTTTTTTAGTTTGGGGGTAAAAAGTCTTGTTTGGAAAGAATTTTTTAATTTTTTTAATTTTTTGTGAGAGAAAAAATGTAATTATTATAAATTGGATACGATATTTTGTCTTATTAGGTTAAAAGTCTTTTTTTTTTTTCTTTGACTATTTTAACTAAAAAAGCCCCAACCTCAACATCCCAAACAGAAGCTTTATACTTTTCTGAAATCCAACCAACCAATCAATAAATAGATGCATAAATAAATAATATATATTTCGTACCGATTTGTTGTTATTTTGATATTTAGAACCTGTAAAACTTTACTAACAATTATGAAAATTTGTCAAGAAAGTGACCATAGATAGAGAAATGTGGTTGAGATTTACAGCAACTGCTCAATATTTTTTGAGATTTTAGACTTAACATTAAAATGCAGTCTTATTTTATTAAATCTTTGAAAAATTAGAGTTTTCAATAAAGAACTTTTAAAATATTTTCTTAGTGGCCTTTCCACCTTTGGAGATTTATTAGTGTATTGGGGTGTCCATATGCAACATGATTATGATTATGAACTAAAAATTGATATTCTTAAATAAAATTCTGAATATGTAATATTACTGTTGGAATCTACAATTTTATTTATTTATTTTTTTTGGGTGGAATGTGAAATTTTAATAAAGCACAAAACACTATCAACAACACTAGGGTATATTTTGGGTGTTAGAAACCTACATACAGAGAGCTCTTTAATTTATTTATCGACAATGTAACAAATCAAAAAAATTTACTCAGATTTTTACCAAGAAAAACATGTAATCCAAATTTATTTTATGTAGGACTCACTATATGTCAATTTAATCTTAACCACACATACATTTTCATGGTATAATTTCTGGATTCCTAGACCTTTTGTTTATTTATTTATTTATTGTTGTTTGTGTAATTTTAATGGTAAAATTAACCTAGTATTCTGTTTGTTTTTGTTTACGTTGTTTGATGAAAATAATAATGGAAATGCATGGGCAGTACGTGGTGTTGGGACCGTGGGTGGCTCATAGCATATACTCGTACGTGGTGAAGGACGAAAATGAAAGGGACTTAACAAACTTTCTGATATTGCCACTTCTTATATCAAGAATGCTTCATAATCAAATCTGGATATCTCTCTCTCGCTACCGAACTGCCAAAGGAACCAACAGGATTGTTGACAAGACAGTTGAATTTGATCAAGTCGACCGAGAAAGAAACTGGTCCTCTCTCTCTCTCTCTCTCTCTCTATATATATATATATATTATGAATACCGCCTTATACTGTGGACGTAACTTTGAATTCATATTAATAATCTAAACTGTTTATCTTGTAGGGCTTATTCATATAGAAAAGTAAGTTAACGAGACACCAGTAAATAAGATCTCATTATATTTTTGTCTTGAAAAATTGAATACATTATTTCTTGAATTCACCATTTATTTTTTTCAAGACAAATGTTATTTGATTGTTTGGCAATTAACATCTGATTAACTTGATTTTCTGATAGATGATCAGTTCTGATTATCTATATATGGTTCCGATGTGAGCCGACAACAAAAAAAATTGCATGTTTATATTTTCTTTTATGAGAATGACTTGTCTCCGGTCTATAAGTGAATTGGATGGTATAATTTGGATGCAGGGTCTCATTCTATAAGCCCCACTTCAATAATCTAATATGTTCATGTATAAGTTTTTGTGTGGAAAAAGTGAAATTGGTTTGATAACTGTTATAACATAATTTTATCATATCTGTTTTAGAAAAATAGATAATTTATTTTAAAAATTGTAATTGTAGTCCATTTTTTTAATGACAAAATTATGAAATAATGTGAGCACAATTATCACATTAATCTAATTTTTTTTATATGAATAGTTTACAAATATATATTGACTTTCAATTGCACCAAATATATATTGACTTGCATTTTCATATTTTGATAGGATTACTTTGGGTTTGTTTTTTTTTTTTTTTAAGCTAATGTGTAATTCCCCTAAAATATAAGGCCATAAAGAATATTACTATTGAGGCGAAGTTGATGGTTAGACTTTCAAATTGGACATGCTCGCCCTAGTCTAATTTGGGTTGGGCTCTTGCCAAATTTTGGATTTAATCTACGCCGAACATGCCTAAATCAAAGTCTAGACACATTTTCGATGAAATTAAAGTCCTGAAAGTTACATGCCTTGATGCCTATTGATAGCTAGCCCAAGAGTTTCCTATCCCATTTGCCTTGTTGGCTTAGCAATTACTATACCCAAGTTGTTTGGTGGAGAAACAATACTAGGCATGAGTCGGATGTCATAGAGCTAAGACCTAAACAAAGGCCTGGTTTGGCATACTCTGAAAAATCTAAAAAATTAAAAAGTCACTATCCTATTTAATTCACATCATCTTATTTAAGTCACATCATCTTTCTACCACATCACTTCAAATCCAACCCATATTTCATAAAAAGTCAAAAAGTGCACTTATTTAGAACATTTCAAACAACTCACCTTGGTTTGTTCCAATTTCACATTAATTTAAAATTTTAATAAATACTTGTTATAAAACAAAATTTTTTGAAAACATAATCTGTAGTGTGAATTAGATGATGTTTGATAACTCAATTAAACACTTAAAACTGATTTAATCAGTGAAGTAAGTTTGTTTGATAATCATATCACTTAAAAATTTAAGTAGTTTTTAAAATATAAGTTAAAAGTTTTTAAAAAAAACTTAAGTGATTATATTCTTATTTAATATTAATTAAATTTATAATTAATTATTCATAAACATTGACGACCACTATTATGACATCATTATTGCCACAATAACTACCACTACTACACTGTCACTACCATTATTGTTACCGTTATTGCTACCGCTATCAATTCAATAAGGATAAAACTTAGTTGGAAAAAAAGAGAAATTATTCTAGAGTATTATTGCATATATAATATATAGATTTAATTGTAGAGTGTTGTTGTATGTATATATAGATTTTTTTTTTACAATATATATGATTGGTGGCTGTTGGATTAATTTTGATTAGTCCAAGGCTAGCCCCATAACTGCATCATGGTCGGACCAATTATTTTGATTAGAATGGAATCAACCTAATCTATATAAATTGAGTTGGTTCAGTTTCTTACATTTTTATTCTTTTTTAGGCCGTTTGTCCACCCATTAAAACAAGCACTTCCCCTTACCCTCGGTGAAAAAGAAATCATATAAAAAAAATTAAAAATTTAACATTAATTTTATTTTAAATGTGACTGCACCACATCAAATTAATTTTCCCCTCATATTTATTGTTTATTTATGGTGTGACTAACAAAAGGTATAAATGAAATAATAATGGGGAGTGGTTGGAATGGCAGGGATGACCAAATATTGTTGAGTGGAATAGTAACCTATGTAGGGAACTGGGCACTGAAAGGGGGATCACACCTGCCCTGGTGGAGGACAGACGGTGTACTCCTAACAATATTGCTTCATATGGGACCTGTGGAGTTTATATACTACTGGTTACACAGAGCTTTGCACCACCATTACCTCTACTCTAGATACCATTCTCACCACCATTCCTCCATTGTCACTGAGCCAATCACTTGTAAGTTCATATTACTCTTCTCCCTATCTCAACCTCATCTATCTATCTATCTATATATATATAGATATACCTATATACATATAAGCTTCATTACACTTCTTCAACTATTAGCGAATATTTTTTTACCCTTTCATCTATGAATCTGTACATATTGATTTCCTCAATTATAAAAATCGCACAAATACACCCATTTTAAAAGTATCTAGATGAGGTCTGCAGGTAGTGAAAATGATACAATTTATAGTTGATGGGAGTCAAAATATATGAATTCATTGATAAAAAAGAATAAAGTAAATTCACTAATAATTTATAAATAACCCTATATACTACATTTCCCATTTGTACCTGTAATGAACACATATCAATCTATAGCTATGTGAAATGAAATGATAGCTATAACTACGGCCTATGTGCATGCACAAAACATAAAGAAAAAGAAAGAGAAAAGATAGCATATATGCATTAGGGAATGGATACTCTCTTGTTGGGCCTCAATGAGACCATCTTGGATTTGAATAGTCCATTTTGTTGAATTGGTTAACTAAACTATCCATACAAATAATTACGATGATCCGATCTCATTCTACCTTTTTATTTATTTTTATTTTTTTTGTGCATTCATAACTTGTTTAGCCGATCTTTTAAAATGTGAGCAGTTTAAATTATCAATTTAGGATGACTGAACACAAATGACACTTCTTCAGTTGAATTCTCAACTTGAAAGAATCCATAAACATTATATAGAATGTGACTTTTCTATGGTGAACTGATTGTACCATCGAGTCCGTTGATTATGAGAGATGTGACACACTCCATAATGTCAGCCCCACTCTCGTCTCACAATCTATGAAATGGATGACTCTTTCCTAAATCCTACATTAGAATAGAACTACAATTTTAAAAAATTTGTATGGCAATCATCTCTTATCTGAACTTGATCGTTATGATAGGGTTCGTAAGACTCACCAAAAAAATAAACTGTTTGGATTATCAAAACGGGACATATATGAGCCCAACAACAAATCTGAACATGATGATCAAGTTCATATTTGAATTTGGAATAAATCCATCCCTTTCTTTTTTACTTGGATTGGATTACAGTCAAAAATTTTGTGAGAAGCTAGTAAGAATCAAAATGTTGCAAGACTCACCAATCATACACACATTTTTGAAGTTATTATCATTGTTGTTTTTCTTATAACAATGGAGTTAGTAGATTGTGATACAATTAATGTGAGTATAATAATTCTGTCTCTCTCTATCTCTCTCTCCCTCTCTCTCTCTCTCTATGGCAGCTGTGATTCATCCATTTGCTGAACACATTGCATACTATGTGCTGTTTGCATCACCAATTCTGACTGCCATACAGACTGGGATGGCATCCATCGCTTCAATTTTAGGGTATATTACTTTCATTGATTTCATGAACAACATGGGTCATTGCAACTTTGAGCTCATTCCTAAGTCCCTCTTCTCCATCTTCCCTCCTCTCAAGTACCTCATGTATACTCCCTCGTAAGTCTCTCTCTCTCTCTCTCACGCACACACATCTATATATATAATGTTTGTATGTGTACCCGATGAGTGTGTTGTTAAAATTACAGTAAGTTATAAATTTTAATATGAATATGATCTAAGCAATTATATGAGGAAAGGTATTAAAAGTATTACATGAGGGCATTTCGAAAAAGTAAAAAAATTGACAGTCTACACCAAGAAAAGTGTATATTTATAACTAAGTAGACCTAGTCTAATTAGTCACCATGTCTTTCTTAGAGCTTAGTTTCAAGGAGGTCATGGGTTCAATTGCCCTTAGGGAGTTAAATTAAGGGTGTGCAAGCACTTAGGTGTTTTGCCATGGGTAAAGAGATATTCTCCTATAGGTACTAATCTAACAACTAACAACTAACATTTGCCGATCAAAAAAAAAAGTCAAGCGTATATTTATGTAATAGTATATATATACACGCATACATCTTCATTAAAAATAGAGAAATGTTAGAGATCATGAAAGTTTTGTCATGAAAAGGGTCATAAAAAATTTGTGACCCTTAGATTATCTTGATTATTGTGTGGTGCTTTATTGTAAGTGTAATCCAAAGGTCACAAATCTTTCATGACCATTTTCATGAAAGATTTTTCATGATACATAGCATTGTTGTTAAAAATATGCTTATAAAAGAATTTATGACAAAAAAAATATGGTAGTTGTATTTTGTGAAGATTATATAGCTGGTTTCTATATATATGTACACATTATATCTGTATAATATATTAACATGAAAAATTATTTGAAAGCATAAAAGTTATATAAAAAATACATAGTGAATAATGTATCGATGTTAATTTTGACATTATAACGACGATGATAAGTGTTATGATTGAAAATGAAGATATCATGAAAATTTGTATAACAATTTATTTGCATATTATTTTACAAAAACAAAGTTATTTCCGTGCATGTAAATTTGTGTGTATGTATAATTTAAGGTATTTATTAGATATATGCTTACGAGTAGACTCCAATGCTATTTGTTGCCATGACGTTGATAATAGTTTATGCTTTGTGCCTACCAAGCAAATGTAAATTAGGGAACACACAAAACCAGCCACTAAGAAAGTGTCATTTTTTTAAACGGCAATTTTTTTCTTTTTGTTAGCTCAAAATATAGACTAAATCAATAATAAATAAAAAAAGTCAATATGAAAGGTCAATTTATTTTCTTAATTTTTTATAATTCTTTTGTAAAACGTAAAAAAATCACTAAAAAGTTAATTTCCAAACTAACATTAAAAAAGAAGAATCAAGTCATAATATAGAATATATATATATATAAGACAAAAAAAAAAGTGATAATGAGAAAAGAAATAAACAAATTTTTATGAGATAATTTTTTTAATAAAAATTATTGGAAAATAATAATTTTAAGGGGTTGTTTTGGATGATCTAAATAAATATAATTTTTGTCTTTTAATAAAAAAATGTATAAAAAAGTAAAGAGATGATATAATGAAAAAAATAAAAAGATAAATCATTTTTGAATTGCCAAACTTAACTTTAATCTTGTTTTGACCCCTATAAGGTGACAAAGTTATTAAATTGACTTGTGTCAGTTGTCGCATTGTTCCAAGGTACAATTTTGAATATGCAGATGTAGTTGGTTGGTGGTGGCTGTTGAGAAGTTATTATCCCATGATTGGTTGATAAATTAGTATTTTTATTGTCACTAGTTTGTGAGATAATATAATACCAACAATTAATTGATGCGAAACAATTTTTTAAAATTATTTAATTCTTAGGCTGCATTTAATTTATGAATTTGAGAAAGTATTTGAAAAGAAAAAGGAAAAATGTAGATAAAATATGAATAAATTATAATTATATTTCACTTATGTTTCGCATACTTTTTTTTTTCTGCTTTTTTTTCAAATCTCTCTTCAAATTTATAAACCAAATACAACCTTAAAAAATTGCATTAAGTCTATATACTTTTATAATTAAATCACATAAAAGTAAAAATTAGCATAATGTTATCCAAAAAAACTATTCCAATTTATTGGTATCTTTATTATTTTAACCAAGAAAAATGTGATTCCTATTATATTGATGTTATTTATTTATTTTTATTTAATTTTTTATTTTTGTGTGTACATCGAGAAAACACTGATATATAAATAAAATTTGTATATATAATTTCTATGCAAAATGATGTGATATTTTTGCATCTCTTTATTTTGAATAAAAACACTTGTCATTGAATATCACCCTTATATTATTTTTATTATAAATTTTGTATAAAAATTTATAAAATTATCATTTTTATATCAAAAAAAGTAATCATATAATGTGAAATTTTAAACACTAACAAAATTTTGAAATGAATATACAGATAGTTTTGAGTAGGAATATCAATTCTCTTCCTTTATAAATATCAAATGTCTTTTCTTTATATTCGATCGGCCACTTTCTCACCATTAGTAGAATAGTAACTGCCAGTGTATTGGTTCAACTAAATTTTTTTTGAGAGATTTTTTCAAAAATTCTATTTTTAATATTTATATATATTAATTAGTCCAAGTTAATTTCTAACGAGGACTAGTATTTACACTTTATTTTTTTCGATCCCCCATTCTTCTATTTTTTTATTATAATTTTGCCCCAACATCGAAATTTTTTTTTGACCCCATCTCTATCCTTCCAACCTAATCTTAACCCCAACTCCAACCCCATCTCCACCTTCACCTTCACCTTCACTCTACTCCGTCGCCTTCACTTGATCTCTATCAGACGATTAAGATAAAAATGCCTATCATATGATAAAAATGGTGCCTTAAAATAATGAGATTTGAGACATTGAGACGGTGTGGACGTCCAAGTCATTGATCCTTACCCATAACGGATGATACAAGACCATTTTAGTTGATAGATATGAGTTCCTTACGAGTGTAAAAAATGTAGTGTTTGTGAATATAATTTCCCAATGATATATAAACAAAAAGTATTGAACAATATAATTTTGTTGCAATTTATTATTTTAAAATAAAATTCTCACTAAAATAATATTTAATTATAAGAATAGGACTGTCACATTATTTTAATAAAAATTCTGTAAAAATAATATTACTCCACCAAGTTATACCATGAGTCCTGATATGTTAGATAATTAGACTTTTAGAGAGTTTAGTACAACTTTTGAGGGTGGTTAAGCTTTATTTATTATTATTATTATTATTTTTTTTTTGGAGTCCTTGTGAATTATTTATTGCAATTTTTGTTTATAATTTATGATTAAAAAATAATAATTACTATGAAGCTAGGAGACAGGTTCTTTTAGATTTTGCTTTTAAGTTATGAACTTCTAGCTTGGAATAAATTGTACCAAAAATGTCCTTTATTCTTGTCTATTGCAATTTAAATACGGTACTTATTACTTAATTTTAATTTTATTTTATTTTGAGACTTTAAATCAAGCCATATCTTGTAACTTCTGCATCCAATTTATACCGTAAAAATAACTTAAATAAATTAAAAAATATTTCCTAAAAATAATGAAAAATGCTTTTAGATTTTGCTTATAAATAGATTATTAATTTTTAACTTAGAACACGTGTCCTTTATTAATTACATGCTTGATTTGTTGTAGGTATCACTCTCTCCATCACACTCAATTTCGGACCAATTACTCACTTTTCATGCCAATTTACGATTACATCTATGGTACCGTGGACTTTTCCACAGATTCACTATATGAAGCGTCGCTTGCAAGGCAAGAAGAGTTGCCCAATGTAGTGCATCTCACGCATCTAACAACACCAGACTCGATCTATCACATTCGGCTAGGGTTTGCATATTTGGCCTCGAAACCTCACACTTCAAAATGGTACTTGTGGCTAATGTGGCCTGTGACATTTTGGACCATGATGGTTACTTGGATTTATGGTCATACCTTCATTGTGGAGAGAAATGTCTTAAAAAATCTCAAATTACAGACATGGGCTATACCTAAGTACAACATTCAAGTGAGAATCATTTTAATTCATTTTTTTCTCATGTATTTAATGTGAGTAAAGATATGTATGCATATAGAATAAATTTTGAAATATTAAAATGGATCACAAAACTAGATACAGAATATATATGAATTGACAAGTATTTTCAAAAGTGAGTTGCACCAATTATATTCCGTAAATTTTGTTAATTCATGTATATTTTGTGTTGCTTTGGGTGTTTGGTTATTGTGGTTATATATGTATGTATGTCATTTTCCTGTTTTTTACAGTACTTTATGCAATGGCAAAGAGAGTCTATCAATAGCTTAATTGAGGAAGCTATACTGGATGCTGAAGAAAAAGGCGTTGAAGTGTTGAGTCTTGGTCTTATGAATCAGGTAAGTTGTTGCCTCTCTCTCTCTCTTTCTCTCTCTCTCTCTCTCTCTATATATATATATATATCTTAATATTGACTATAATTCACCTTGGATGAATTTGTAATAAATGATATTTTTCATCAGGTAAGTGTTCTCTTTCTGTAAATCTAATGCTTCTAATAATTTTATGGCTAGTAATAACATACAAATATATAAATTGTTTGTATAGAATGATGTGATTATAATGTGGTCATTTCATTTTAAAACAAACATTAATTAAGAGGCCTTTTATTTACAAATATAATATTGGCACATCATTTGTGTTGATTTTTGTATAAATTTTTGTAAGACCTTTCATAAATAAACTAAAAAAACATTATGAAGTCATCTTTTATTTAATTTTTTTATTTTTTATATAAATGTTATGTGAGGATAAAATATTCCTTTTATTGTGCAAGAATCGCATTACAATATAATTTTGGACAAAATTTATTTTATCCCTTATAATTTGTATCATTTGCACTTCACCCTATAATTTAAGATGTTTTTGTGATGCGAGAGTGTGAGTTTGTCCAAGATACATTGGAATTGAAATGGTATTCTCTCTCTCTCTCTCAATGTTGCAGGGGGAGGAGCTTAATATGAATGGTGAGCTTTACATCCGAAGGCACCCCAACCTCAAAGTGAAAGTGGTGGATGGGAGTAGCTTAGCAGTTGCAGTTGTGTTAAACACCATTCCAAAAGGAACAACCCAAGTCCTCCTCACATCCACTATTTCCAAAGTTGCTTCTTCCTTAGCCTTTGCTTTATGCCAAAGGGGCATTCAGGTAATTTTAAACATCAGATCTTCTATTCTCATTCTCCTTTTTATCTTGCTATCCCAAAAGAAGTGCTTCACAATCAAGTTAAGAGAGTCTCATCATGTGATAGAGGGTCACGAATAGAGAAAAACGGGAATAGTGGATTTGACCAAACCTTAACATGATCTCAAACCCTGCCCAAGTTATTTTTGAGTTTGCTTCATGTACTAACACAAACTTGAGTCTATAATAGGTATGCACACTATATGAGGATGAATATCACAAGCTTAAGGCAATGCTTGGTACTCAGGTTGCAAGTAATTTGGTCCTTGCTAAAAGCTATGCTGCAAAGGTAAATTTCCTAATCATTTTAATTTATTCCCTTCATTTTTTTAAAATTTTATTTGCTTCACAAAAAGTTTCTTCTTGGTACATGCGTGGAGTTTAAATGCAATGACTCAGAGCTTCATTCTACTCATCCACATCAATAAATGTTGACAGAAAAAGATGAACAATTTCTCTCTAGTTCAGATCTGAACTTGAGAGTCCCAGCCCATCATAAATATACCACATCACAATCTTTTGACCCTTTGCTTTGAAATTCGAAAATGATATAAAGGAACACCCGATAAATAGAAATCATGCTCTATAAACTACCAGTAACCTAGTAATTTTTAAAAAATCTTGTAAATATATCGTATAAATCTCATAAAGATAAATTAAAATTTAAGACAAATTACAGTAGCAGTTTCTGTAATTTACCTTATATATCAATTTGGTTTCTACAAAAGTACGCAATGCAAAGCAACAAATATTAGATTAAATTAGGTATAAAACAATTTTTGAGATGTAAATTATGAAATTTTGCAGACATGGTTAGTGGGAGATGGATTGAGTGAAGAAGAACAAATGAAGGCATCAAAAGGAACATTGTTCATCCCATTCTCACAATTTCCTCCTCAGAAAATGCGTAACGACTGCTTCTACCACACCACTCCCGCCATGGTCACCCCTAAGTATCTCCAGAACGTCGACTCGTGTGAGGTACTGAGCTATTGTAGCTTTTTCTTTCATATTGTGATTCAGTTTATTTTTCTTGAGGCTTTTGATTTTAAAAATGAATATGATACTGTTTTTATTGTTTTGAAAAGCATGTATAATCTCAAAATTTGAACACAAAAATCAAATTCAACATTGTCACCAATATTTATTATTGATTGGTGTAGATTATTGTAAAACTGTCTATTGACATCAAATATTTCAAAACCCCAAGGGTAGTGGCCGAGCGGTAAAGTTTGGAGGATAAAATTCACAGGTTTCGAGTTCAAGTCACCCTTTAGAGACCACTGGAGGTTGACCCGGTCGGTAACTCCAGGGCCTCGGGATTAGTCGGGTCTACAATCGGAGTCCGGAAACCCGGTTATAAAAAAAAAAAAACATCAAATATTTCAAAAAAGAGAGAATGATTAAGCATAAAATAGGGTTGGCTCAAGATGGACCGAGGGGACAGTTGGTAGGGTCAACTGCCACTCCAAAGTTTTGAAAAATCTTCTTAAATATAGTAGTATTATTTAGGAAATTTTTTAAACTACGTAGGTTAGGCACCCAATTTTTTATTTTTTATTTTTTAAAAAAATTTAATACTCGTCCCCTCAAGATTTTTTAATAAAAATTTATGCTTAAGCTTTTGGACAAGTTGGTAGTTAACACTTCAATAATGTATCAGAGTAGGCAATAGATTTTGCGTTTGAATCTCATTGTCTACCCAATAATTAAAATGCTTGCACGTGTTTGGCTTGCTCATGAAAGAAAGCCTAGTCACCCATGAGGTGTATGTTGAGAATATAATATAAATAATAAAATTTTATCTCTATCAGCTTTTGAATTTTTAGACGAGTTGGTGGCTAATACTTTAGTAATTATTACTCATATCGAATCATTGATATTCGCATGAGGGTATAAGACACAAGCCCGATACACTTAGTTGGACAGACACCCAACTAAGCATAAGTAGTCAAGTTTCCTATATAACAATTCATAAAACTTCTTATTTATTTATTTATTTATTTTTGTTATGTAAAATGTTATATTTAATCATTTTATCCTTAATTTTTTTTAAAAGAATGAAATGTGGATCTAATGAAGTTTGCATGGAATATGTGGGTTACAGAACTGGTTGCCGAGAAGGGTGATGAGTGCATGGAGAATAGCAGGGATAGTACATGGTTTAGAAGGCTGGAAAGTGAATGAATGCGGCGACATGGTGTTCGACAATCACAAAATCTGGGAAGCCACTCTTCGCCATGGTTTTCTTCCTCTCCAGATGTCTCCAAAATGATCTCTCTGAACTCAATACTTAGTACACCCTTCATTATCTATTATCTATATATACATTGATTAGACTATATCCACGTATTTATATATTCACATCAATTCGCACCGAGCGTTGCTGTATCCTGATTATGTTTGACGGGGCTATTTATGGTTTTTAAGAACTCTATATGTATGCCTATCTATGTTTCAACATTATATATAACATACCTAGAATTGAGCTATGAGATTTTATTAATGCTCTTCCTTCTTTTTTATTGTTTTTGTTTGCTTGTTTGTTTTGATCGGCGAAAGAAATTGAGTTTTATTAGAGAAAAATTACACTTTGTGAACTTAGGAAAGAAAGAAAAGAAGAGATTATGCAAGTTAGGAGAAAACATAAAAAAGAAGAGAAAACCAAAAATATATTTACGATCTTATTTGAGTAAATTATATAAAATAAATGAAAAATGAGATGATATCATATTATATTACTGAATTAACCTTTTTTTATAGGTGTTATTTATTTATTTCTTCTATATGTGAAAGGATAGTGAAAATGATATATATAATCAATTTTCTTATCAATTTTTTTCACTGTTAGACATAAGTGGATGAGCTTCATGTGCTTTTATTGGTGTAGATGCTAGAAATATGGTTTTTATAGGTTTATTTTGGATGAATTTTGAGCCCAAATTCAAACGGGACCCACACGTCTTTTGAGGTGAGTCTGAGTGGTGACGTGTTCCTTGCCGAATAGTCACACCTTGAAGTTGGTTCGTCAAAACCAATTATAAGTGAATGGGAGGTTCACATCATTTTCAGCTTTGTGAAGTTAGAAGTTGAAGAGACAATGTGGATTGTTCAGTTTGTGTTGAAGAGACAATGTGGCTTCGTAAAGTTGGAAGTTGAAGACATGGGCCGCCGCCGTCTGTCCGGCCCGGCCAATTGTGGGTCGGGTCCTACCTTTAATTTTTTGAACAAAATTCGTTTGAATTTTTTCAAATTCTTACGGGAAAATTCCAAATTCTTACAGAAAAGAACTTCATCTTTGAAGTTCTTTTCTGTTTTCATAAATAAATTATGTAAGTCAATTTATTGTTTTTGTTTGATAAAAAAAAAAAAAAAAAATAGAGAAGAGGGTGTGACTTGAACTCTAGACCACAAAATCAATAAATGAGGCTTTTACCATTTGAGTTGCTTATAACTTATATATGCATTTTGTATATTATTTATATATTTGACCTACACATGCTTTAAGTGTATCCAAACACTAGTATTAAATAAAATATACACAAATCCCTACCTTCTTATTTATTCTTCACAGTCGCCGTGAGGGAGAGAGAGACAGAGGGGTTGCTTGCTAAGGAGATTGAAGGAAGGACCAAGTAAGTATTTTAAATATATTCACGTATGCTATTGTTTCTTTTAGGTAAGGCTATGGTGTAGTCATTTAATTGCTGAGATCATTGTCTTGTGAGGATGAAGGATGGTGGTGTGAAAAATTAATGGTTGGTGATGGGAGGTTTTGGGTGTAGTTGATTTCTTTTGAAAGCAAGAAGTGCATATTGTGGATGTAACTATGGTGCTGGGTATATTATTTGGGGGTTCAAATATTAGTGCATGAGTGTCCCAGAATAATAGTTTAGTCTTGGCTTACCTTTTGTACTATAACAATCTCTGTGTATATATTTCGTTTTAAAGAAATTTGAAAGCAAATTAAGGAGCAGAACTTGTGCTTAAATGGTGGGTGGATATCTTTAGAATTCTGTACATAATCACAAACTTTAAAAATCAAGGAACCATATCAAACGAATGAATTTTGAACTGAAATTTTTACAGTAGATTAATTACATATTGAATTTCATATATGAATTTTCTCATAAATTTTGGGAGTCAAAATCCATATAAAATGATGCGTTCAAATCTGTCCAGAAAACTGATTTAAAACAGTAAATTCGGAAGCATCGTTCTCTTTGGGTATAGATCCGAAAATTATCAAATTAGTGTAATTAGAACCGATTACGAGTCTAGTTTCGTAAATTTTTGGCCTTGCATTGATTTCTCATGTATACTAGGAGAACCATTAATTTCTTTAAAGTGCTGCAAAAAATAACCTGTTTAGATATAATTAATTGCAGATAATTATTTTGATAAGCAAATCAAGTAAAATCAATTGGGTTTGAAAATTAGGATATATTAGTTAATATCTTGAGGGTTTTGGAATTTTTTGAATAACGTGGGGTGGGTTTTGTAATTTTTAAAGTTAGCGAATAGATTGGGAAAACTTGTTTAAAATTCTGTTTTATTTTAAAGTTACTTTTAGTTAAGTTTCGATCGGAACCTATGTCTTGGGTAAATTTAGACCTTGAAGAACATGAATTTAGGTATTATTTAAGAGTAACGGTGAGTGGAGTTGAGCTGTGTTAGTGCGCTTTAGTGTGGGGTACTTAATTTATTATTCTCTTTAGTATTTTTAAATTAGTAGTGACGTGTAGTCTTCATACTTGGTTCAGGGCACTAATTAGACTTTTATACTATATTCAAGGATTATATTATTCGTTTTCAGGTGAGTAGTTTTATATTACATATTTTTATAAATGTTCCCCTACCCTGAACTGTTGGAAAATTTAATTGTTGTTTCAGGATTAAACTGTTTTGATAAATTATTATATTATCAATGGAATTATATTATTTCTGAAATATGTGTGAACTTGGCATACTGTAAACTATTTGTTTTGGTCTCATGTTTATAATGGTGAACTACCATGTTTTGTGAAACTGATGTGTATTGATTATTAGGACCATCTGTGTATTTTAGTATAGGAAAATTATTCCACTGTGTGTGGTGACTTTGGCCACTAGGGAACATATCCGAGTTGCGCCGTGATGACTCTAGTGTTCAACGATTGTAAGGAAAAGACCTAGGTTAAGCTAGGTAACCTTCAATCAGATCGTTTTAGAGAAAAGACTCGGGTTGCCACCTTGAGGATGACTCTTAGTTCGGTATTGGATCCAACGAGGCTTATAGCCTTGAGAACTGTGTGGTATGTTACTTGCTATTTCTTGGTACCTAGAAAATTATTGGTATTCATGTTGTAATTTGTTTTAAGTGGAAAATGTCAATGTCATGTTCTTGAGAGACGTTAGTATTTTAACTGTTAAATTGTAGAACCTTCTTTTTTATATAGATTGTTTTTATTAAACTGTATATCAATCTAATTTCTGTGATATATATATCTTATTTTGAAATTGATTCTTGTTTTCAAAACTGTATATACTATCCATATTGCTACTCACTGAGTTATCAGCTGACTTAGTTGTTTACCATTTCCAGGTGTTAAAGGGACTTAGAGTGGGCTCATGGCATAGCGGGGATTCGATTGCATGGACCTCTAGAACATTCATTTATTTTGTTTTAGATTGTTTGTCAAGTCTGTGCATATTTCTTTTTATTCTTATTGAGGTTCATGTAGGATTATTTTAATATGTGGCTGTTTATATCTCATAAGTTTAGATTGTATTGATTACGGTTGGCTTTGTCGTTTATACTTATGGCTTGTCACTGGTGGGTTTTGATTTATTTATTTTTGGGTTATCATCACATTTATTCTTTGTGATTTTGGGTTCATGTATAGGCTTACGTGTGCCTTGGGCTAAGTCCCTGTGGGCCGCGTCCGGTCATGCCCGGGTTTAGGGTGTGACAGTGTCACACAGTCGACTTGATCTTTGAAGTTCTTTTCTGTTTTCTTAAATAAATTATGTATTTCAATTTATTGTTTTTGTTTGATTTATTTATGTTTTCGTTTTATACACAGAAGATTGTGTCCAATAATCTTAAGATAGATTCGAATTATTTTATTTATATATAGTTTTTCGTTTTGTTTCCTTTTCAAATCTATTCTTTTTACAAAAATTATTTTCTGTATGGATTTTCCCACGTAACGTCCCAAATTTCTAGCCCAAATGATAATACAACAATCATGGCTCTTTCAAGGAAAACCGAATATAAATCTCCAAACTTATATTACATGATCCAATAGTTCTTCATACAACAATACATTAATCCAACAACAAGTAAATAAACAAATAAATACCCCCAAGGGGTTTACAATTTTCCAAGGCTTGAGCTTGGTTACACAAAACGGTTATTCAAACCCACACAAACACAGCCCTCGGCTTACACACAGAATCACAGCAAAATGAGAGCATTATACTCCTAACACACGTACTTCCACGCCCCTAGTTGGGTGGGATCACCACATCTTTTCCTGTACAAAAATCCCGTAGGGTGAGCATAAAGCCTCGTAAGAAATTCTTAACAAAGTATATACATTTTATACAAGTCTCAAGAGATGAAATGCACATGCCATGCTATGCCCTTTTTAAAGATAAATCACATTTTCATCTTTTGAAAACCATCATGCTTAATGATATCGTGCAATTTCAATTGTTCAAAACTTAACAATTTATTTCAAGGACGGTAAATACGATTCTGGTAATCCCTAGGTCGGTGTCTGCAAGTAAACTATACAAGTACTACCAATTTGTCATTTTTACCAGCATTGACTGGAAGGTTCGACACCTATAATCTGTCATTTTTACCAGTATTAACTAGAAGGCTCAACACCTATTCAATTTCATCTGCACCACCTGTCAAGACTTACCATCGTATTTACCCCAAAAGCAATTTATGGAAACCTAACCATTCTTTTCTCAATGTAAGTTTTCAAATCAACTTTCAAAGTTTAATGTAATCAAATGAATTGATATGCCAATAACACAAGATAAATATAAATACTTTTATTCCAATTCATCACCCAAGGAATAACACAATTCCCTCTTCTCAAATATCCTCAACAATTAGTCATTTCAAGACTATTTCAACGTTTTGAACAATAATTTTCAAAATGAACAACAATTCTCATATTCCCTGAAATTCATCATTTATATAAATATAAATAAGAAATTTTCCAAACATCCATTTATTTTGACACACAAAATAAATATAACAATATTATTCATGGATTTTCAGTCTCTTAAAAAACAATCTCCAAATTCTAAGTTTTCTCACAAAAACTATACAACTCAAATCTTTTGAAAGAAAACTTTCCAAAATCATCTTTTCTTCAATCAACGAAGATCAAAACCCATAAGATTATTTTAAAAGAACAAAAGACAAACCCACTTTCAAAATTGCTCAACTTCTTGAATTAACAATCAATTTTCAAAACTATCGAAGGAC